AGATCTATATAAAAAATAGTTTTAATACAAAGGGAAGAGAATTGGACATAGTGAGTTTTGGCAACCTTCCATTCAGTGAATAACCTGAACCAAGGGCATCTAGGGTGCAATTATTCCAATCTTTCATTGTTTGATATAGCCTATTTCTCACTCATTCACAAATAAAAAAGAAAAAGATTTCTCTTTACTATAGCAATAAGCTGTAAACACCCTCATACATCCACGTTGATACTGTCCTTCCCCACAGTACCTTCAGAAGCCACTGAGGTGGAAGAGACAGACAAATGACAAGAATGGTTAATACTCATCCAATTATGTTATGTGGTAGTTTTACAATGCACTGGTGGGATCTCAGCTAAACTGTTCTCAATTATAGCATTCTGCCATGCAAAAAGATAATGATGTATTGGGAAGGACAATATTCCAGAGCTGATTTACAAAAATTGAATGATCTGTAATGCAGACAGTGCTGTGCCTCCTAAATGCTTTAGTGTTGGATCTTGATTTACGAATGGGAATAGTAAAAATGACGTGAGTCCATCAGAAAATGTGGATCTGAAATAGAGGGAAAAAAAGATTTTGTTTTGTGTTCTTCTGCATGTTTAAATTACTATATTTTAAGGATCAATGAGATGGATTCAGTTTTCAACATTTAGGTATATCATCACACTCTCTTCTTCCGACAATCTTTTATCATTAACTTCCTCTTACAAACTAACTACATGAGAAACTTTGGAGTAAACTGTACTGTAGGTCAGTGGGGCTTGCACTTACTTATGGCAGGGTTGAGCTTAGTTCCTATCTCTGGTGCAAATAAAGAGACAATCTATCAGTGATACCATACCAAACAGCCAATAGACATGCTTTGCGAATAACTCTCTCAGTTATTCTTCTGCACTGATGATTACATTCCATCACTTATACTCAAAGTGGGTTAGAGTATATCTCCCAAAATGAAACCGATGAAAAACAAGTTTTCATAATAGATACTTCTTTGCACTTGCGACCAAATCTATTTCTGATGCAGCTTGTGTCCAACAGACTCTAATTTCCTGTAATGCCATTCTGAGGATTCAGACAGGGGAAAAAAATGAAGCAGCGAGGCTATACAGTGCATGTTCATATAATATTACTACAGAGCTATTACAGAGAAAATTAAAAAAGGTGATGTGTCAAAAGTAGGAGCCACAGTATTTCCCCAAACTTTTGATGCCTGGGACACACTTTTGTT